GCAACACCCTCAGCGAGATTCGAACCACTGCCGTCCTGCACTGTCGCGGTTCGAATCCCGCTGAGGGTGTTGATAAGACCAATGCGAGGTCGAAACTGCAAGTACTTACACGAAATAGGGTGAATACATCTCATTCAAATATTTTGTTATGCATCTTGAAAAAAACCCCATTTATGTGTTTATTACGGGCATCTTATCTTGGTTCTTTCCTCTTTTGCTTACATGCAGTTTGACATCCTTTTCTAGGTCCATTGTGTTCATTTCTTTAAGCTCTCAATGATGCTATTCATTTTCTCATGCTTAAATTGTGCTTCTGAGCAACTATCATTTTTAAAGGACAGCCTGTATCTCAACCCCGTTAATAAGCCTCTTTTGTCCGAATGTTTGGTGAGCTTTTTTGCAATAGATGGCCTCATGCTTCGGCAACACTCGTCATGGCGAAGCAGACGAAGGTTCATCATGGATGCATCGCAATGGCTGAACCTTGCGCCGAGCACCGTAACAGCAAATCCCGGTTCCAAATGTCGAGCCGATCTTTTTTCAGCTTGTGGTGAGCAATTTACGAATCCCGTCAATCCGCAATTTGAAGTGAAAAGAAGTCAGCACAACATGAATTTATTGAGGCAGTTTTCGAAACCCCGCCTGTCTTGGTGCCTATTGCTGACTCATCTTCATCGTTAATCATTATCGGTACATTCTTTGGCGCTCTATTATTGTCTTGATTGTCACTAAAAATGCACGTTTTCGTTGAGCAAAATCTCGACTTGGCGTGATCTAGTCTGTCTCGGATTTTGGAGGATATATTGTCCCAGTTGCCCCTACGCCTCGATGCCTTCCTTCCGGAAACGCCAAATGCCAGTCCTGATAGCCCTGAGCACACACTCACACAAAGGTCAGACCGAAGCGCTTCTGAGCTAACCACTCAGGGCGTGTGGAATCGAGACGACTGCTATGGGTGCGACAGGAAATTCGATCCATATGGGATTATCTTCTTTCGTGGCTACGAGAGTGCGTATACGAGAGTGCTCAAAGGAAACATTTCGGCAGACTGCTTATTTCAAAGGCGAATCACTGAACGCGCTTAATTTCCATATATATATACTTGTGCGTGTATGTGAGAATGCTCGTCTATCTTTGGTCAAGGACGTAGATAGAAATCGCGG